TATTTTTTGACTTAACCAGTTATAAGGCTCTACAAACAATTTTGTTTATGCACTTTTTAAAAATACTGACCTGTGTAACTCGATCCAGAAAATCTTGATCTGATCATGCAAGGGTTTTGTTTTTCAACTTGCTTACATATTCCGGGGTTTTCCCATTCATCCACCACCTCTGTTGGTTCATTTTCTAGTTTTGGAATTTCAATTAAGTCATTATATCAAAATATGTTCTTATTGGTTGGAAATTGGTTGAATTGTTTGTCAGTCTCCACTTGCCTATGCCTTCTTCAAAGTTCACTTGTCCAGTCTGATATGATTTTATAAAATGATTTGGTTCACCCATCACTCTAGTCAAATCGTCTGCATGGATCCTGAAGGCATCACTCTCCACTGAACAGACCTTAATATCATTTTCTGAAAACATGATTACGCTTCATTCACTGAAAAGTTATGATATTGAAGAAGCAGCTCTTTTATATCTCAAGGCCCATTGAAAAATTCATTTCGATTGGTTGTGTTTAAGATGTAATAGGTACTGCACGTTTGTTTCTTCTTTTTTCTATTTCTTGTTGTATGGCACAAACCCTTAATGGCAAGCCTCCCTCAAAGTGTGAAACCATAACTTCTGTGCGGTGTTGTGATGTTTCCTATTTTCTTTTTGTCATCTTTAGTAAGATTGGTTTGCCATAGTTCATTTAACAATCTGGTCAGAATTGACCTAATGAATGAAGGAAGGAAGGAAGGAAGGAAGGAGTTTTGTACAAATAGTTTTCGTTGTTTGCTTCCAATAGTTTTCTTAAACACTTTCCATATATTAAGTTTTACTTCTTATTGAAAAACATTTGATGCCTTCACTTCCACCGTATACAATGTAAAACTTGATATTTTGCTGATGTCAATGTCATCCCTGTAATGTTCCAACTATCAAACTCATAAAAACCGGTGTGAATTTAGTCTCTAAATGCCCATGTAAACGCTTTAGTCCTGTCAATCTGTATCAGTTTTGTTGTATCAGTTTTTCAATCCAAAAATAACCTGATGGGACTATAGTCCTACAATGTTTTTTATCAAAATAACCTGATGGGACTATAGTCGTGTCATACTTTGATATATGTGTGTCATGTCTTATTGCGTGATGATCCTTGAGATGATGACTGAATGTAGGAAAGTACGCGTACAAGCGCTTTGTACGCGTACATTACATTGCTCAAAACAACAAATCACAAAAACAAGATTGAGCGCAACTCTTGACAGGAATCTTGGTTTGATGCAGCCAATGCACATTACACAAGTTGGATGACCTGGGTCTCAAAAAAGGACACACCCCAAACCAAGATTCATTTGTAAGCGTACTGTACGCGTACTCCCCTGCAACCAATGATGTGCAGTGAGCATCACAACAGTTAGCGTACAGTAAACATTGACCATTGTACGCGACAGTACGCGTACTTCCCTGCAACCAATGATGTGCAGTGAGCGTCTCAACAGTTAGCATACATTAAGACATGTGTATATATATATACATGGTACTCCCCTTTCAGTAAATTGATGGGTGAGCATCCACAACCGTGAAACAAACAAAAATGGTAGATCTTTGGGGTGGTATCGTATATATATATGCACCCTATAAGTCCAAGCACTAGTTTTATAATAGTCGTTGTGACAACCACCATTCCCGAATCATCAACATCAAGACAACAACTTCCAATCCCAGATCAATCTCCGGCATTCTTTTCTGACTCCACTCCGACAGGCTCTTACTTTCGTTTTCGCGTTTTCGTCGTTTTCGCGTTTTTTGCCGTTTTCGCGGCTTTCGCGTGGCCTGCCCCTGCATCACCGGGGGCCGAGACACACGTTTCGTATGCGCAGATTGACATTTCAACCCAAGAAACGAAACCCTTTATAGCAGGCAAGGTTCCTTAATCGCAGGGTCACACTTCTTAATCACAGGGCTGATTCCTTTGCGATTAGTGTGTTCATGTGAGTGAGCAGGTTTGCTCAACTGATGCCACTGCTGCTGCCATTATTGCCCTGTCATGCCATTCAGTGCCACTCTGTTCCGTGCAGTAGTGCAGTGCAACTTGCAGTGCACAGTGCGCACGTTGCAATCTTTTCCACGAAAGGTAGCGGTTACGCTACCTGAGTTGTCTTTGCTTTAGCAAAAATGTATTGGGGGTGGTGAAGTGGTCCGACGCTTGATTTCGATGGTTTAAGAGTTGGTTTTAAAGTCGGGGGGGGCCCCCCCCCATTCGACTCCACCCTGCGCCGCGGATAATTTGGTAGCGATCTGAGCAGACGCAAGCGGCAAGCAGCAGCAAACCAGCAATGCAGCAGCAGCAGTAGCAGCACAGCAAAGCAGCAAGCAACAGCAGTGGCACCAGTGGCAGCAGCAACGACAGCAGCAGCAGCAAAGCACCAAAGCTCACCCAAGTTTGGCCTCCACAACCCTTGGTTTTCGTTCAGTTTTTGGGGGGTTGCGCAGACGAAATTGAAAGAGGGGGGGGGCAGCAAAGGAGCAGCAGCCTTCAGGATTCAAGCAACAGCAGCAACCAGCAAGAAGTAGCAACAGCAACAGCCAAACAGCAGCAACAGCCAAACAGCAGCAGCAACCAGCAGGAGCAGCAACCAGCAGGAGCAGCAGCAGCAACCGCCAGGAGCAGCAACCAGCAGCAGCAACCAGCAGCATCAGCAACCAGCAGCATCAGCAGCAGCAACCAGCAGGAGCAGCAGCAGCAGCAACCAGCAGGAGCAGCAACCAGCAACCAGCAACCAACAAGCAGCAGCAGCAGCAGCAGACATGCTACCTTTCGTCCACCCCGGTCTCCTCAAGTTGTGGATGCGACCTTTGAGGCAATTTAGGTGATTTACATGAACAAACCACCTTCTGAATACAAACCTGAGCTGTTTACATCAAGAAAACAAACAGCTGTTTTGGTGTCCCAAGGCTTGCGTGTGCGTTTGGGCATTTGAGCAGGGCAAACCTCCTTGCGTGAAGTTGACCTGGAAGGCTGCGAAATAATGTTTTCTGGCTGCCGTCTCCCCTTGTTTGTCCCTGGGTTTTTTGACACACCAACCAAAACAAGTTTCCTCCATTTTGGGAGGCGGAACTCCTGGGCACACACAAGGGGCCGCAATGCGGCGCTCCGAGGAAGTGGCAAATTACGGTGTCAAAGACCTGAACAGCCACCTAACAAGCCTTAGAAACAAGGAAAGAAAGACAGAAAGAGCAAAAACAAGAGGGCAAGAGAGAAAGATAGGCGTAGTGCCGTGCACATCTGTCGAGCAAAAGTGCCGAATGAACGGCAATTTGAGGGGTCAGAAACCTGAATGGCCACCTAACAAGCCTTAGAGAAGGAAAGAGAAAAAGAAAAGGGCAAGAGAGAAAGGTAGGTGTAGTGGCGTGCACATCCACCGAGCAAAAGTGCCGAATGAACGGCAAATTAAGTTGTCCGGTGCACATCTTGCCTTGTTGAATTCTGAACATGCAGGAAAATCGTGTTTGCATGGCTGACGTGGCATGTGAGAGGTTGGCCTTGACATGCTCTGCAGTAAGTACCGTGAGCCCGGCGGCGTCATATCCGTAGCTCGGCAGCTTGGGTGTCCGTTGATTCATGGGTGAGACAGAAAAATCAAATCAAAATCTACGAACTCAAAACGCTAAGTCAATCCAGAACTCACGATAGCTTCCGCGCCCCCTTGCAGGGGATCACACTACGCACCCAAGTGGGAAAGCGCGGAATGCGCAGCGAAACACACTTCGTTTAAATTCAGTAAAGATAGTCCACAAGGAAAGGAATGAGGGAACGGCAAGACGGCAGAGTCAGCCCACTTGAAATGTTGAACATTGGACTCAGTGCAAACACGCGCGAGACCGGCCGCAAAACTGCTGCAAAGCCGTTGGAAATGGTTTGGGGGAATATCATGGAACAACCATGAAAGCAAGGAACAGCGCAGGAAAAGTGGTGTCTTATTTGCAGGTACACCGTGGAGCGTCCCCCACTGCATCAGCACCAACTGGACGGGTAGTATCAGTGGTGACCTGTCCCCTGCACTCTTGAATTCGCACATGCACAAGGAACTCCTGGAAACGGAGGGGGGCACACACACACACACATTGACGCGCAAAGATATGTATACATTGTTTTTAATAGGAAGTCCAAATATAATGCACACACTCATGCCGTCCAGCTAGCACGACAATGCTGGTCCCTATGTTGCATAAATGTCTAAGTTAGTGCATGTTTTTCGCCGTCCAATTGCCAGCCTTTCGCGGACTTCAGATTCCCTTTCGCGGCATGTTTCTTGTGCCGTTTCATGCGAGTTCCTTTAGTTGCATATATGGGGGTTATTTGTGGCAACACACGGGAACTCATTTAGTCGGATGCAAATGACCTCTTTGGACAGACTCGGGCAGGATTTGATTGACATGCCTCATGCCGCGCTAGGCTTGTGACACTTGGACCCCCCGGTCACTGGCAAGTATGGCCTGGTGGATCACGCGCTTGCCGGTTTCACAGTACAAAGGTGGTTCTCGCATTTGTGACACGGAAATATAATCTTTGTGCAAAATTGAGCTAACTATATGTTTTACTATGTTTTATATGTTGTTTTACCATCGCCTGGGCTTTGCCACAGAATGTTTGACTGGATGAAGAAGATACTTGGAAGTTCGGATGCTGAGGCGCACGGGCCTCGCATCTCTATTTTCCGGGTTTAGTAGTGCCGCAGCCTAAACTCAGCAACATCCTGAACCTGACTGCATTTTCCATACATTGCTGCCTGACGTAGTTTGAAAGTCTCAAGATATGTTTATGAACAGCCTCCTAGTATTGGCCCAAGTGAAATCAGGCAAGTGGATAGAATCATGGCAGACTGTCAGCACGGCTGCTTGAAAGGGATACTAGATATTGTGTTCTTTGCCAGCACAAGCAGCTGAGCGAGACCAACACGAACTCCAGATATTTCCATTTGGGTGCTCAGAATTCAGAGTGTCTAAGTTGACTCTTGCCCCTACCATGTCGACAAGCAGAATGGATTAAATCATGTTGCGCTGCCATGTTTGATCTTGAGGAAGGCCAAGAACGCACCTTACGATTCCTTTGTGAGGCGTCTACGCAATATGCGATCCTTGCTCCTGCTGTTTCCAGATCATTGGGGCGACGCTTGCGTACCCTAGCAAGAAGTGCCAAGGTGACCTTGCATCCCAGCACTGAGCAGCTCTTTTGTCCCAAATGCTCCCAGGTCTATGTCCCTGGTTGCAACTGTCATGTCTCGACCCGGCTGAAAAGAAGGAAACGTCGGAGAAAAAAGGCTCAGGCGCCCTGGGCGCCCAACGCACAAACCATCGCAGGTGCTCCGACAAAGCGCCAAAGCCAGACTGACAAGACCGAACGGCCGAAGAGGTTTGTGCAGTATTCCTGCGGCGTTTGCAGCCATCGTCGCCGTACTGCTTTGCCCAGGCGGCCCAAACGAGCATGGCAGAAAAGCACGGCCTCAGGGGCAGAAGCAGCTCCTAGCAGTTTGGGCACAGTGGCGCAAAAGAAGCAAGCAGCTGCCTCCGAGGAGGCTCGCAATGCTGCTCGTGTGGCCAAGCGCCTCAAAGCGAAGGCGAAAGCCACAGCGAAGGCGAAGGCGGAGGCACGGCCGGGCCCCGAAGGGGCCAAGGACCCCAAGGCGCTTGCTCAGCCCCAGCCCCAGGTGGCTGCCCTAGCTTCAGAGTTGGACAAGGCGACGCAGCCAGAGGCTTCAAGACGCAAGCGACCTAGGGAGGATCAGCTAACTCGAGTGATGAAGCAATTGGAGCGCGCAGGGAGTTCCACTGGCTTTGACTTCTGACGCCCTGCCATCAAGAAATGGTTGCGCTTGTGCTGCATGCCCGTTAGGAATGGACAAACAAGTGACCGTCCCATTCATACGGATGCCGATGGCTACATGCCTGCCAAATCAGGACACAGATGTTTTTAAGTTGCGATTTCCTTCAAACTTTAACTTTGCAGATTCAAATTGCGGCAGGTTGCTTAGTCCTTTGCAGAACATCAGAGACTCAGCGAGCAGGCCCTGGGAAGATGGGCGTGTGTTTGCTCATAGTTTTCTCGGGGGTTAAGTCGTCCAGTTAAAATCCCCATGAATTCCAAGTTTTTTATGATTCCAGTGGATCGATGTTTGACAGCATAGGTCTTCAACAGAAACACGACCTTTTTCACATCCTTGGACTAAGCCATTTACTGTTCACAGCATGTCTTGCAGCTTTGTTGTTCATTTGCCAGGTTCTTTTGTTTTGCTCACTTGTGCCAGGACCTTTCAAACTTGGTCCAGGGTTGTGGAACGATGCTGATCACGGAGGAGCTTCTTTTGCAAAAGGTGCAGCACCTGGCAAACACTTCCGCCTTTCTTTGACTACTTCTGGCTTGTGGTTGTTACATGTTAATGTCAATTTGCCCGAGACAACACTAGATTGCACGTGGAATGTAGGGAACATGGCCAAAGACACTGGTCCTGCCGGCTTGTATGCCACACAGACCCCGTATTTGGCTGGCCATGTTCATGCATACTTTGCCCATCTTTGCCCTATTGTATCCTTGTCATGTTGGAAGCTAATTGGGCCTTGGACTTGCTTCGGGGCCTGACGGTAGGTGTGTGTTGCCTGCACTGAGATGACCGAATTCACTACCCAGGGCTTAGCCAGCAGAGGCCCCTTTTGGACCGACTCAATGTTCATCTACTGTCATGCATACGTGGACGTTGTGGGACATTGATCACAAGTGTAAGGACACGGTGACAAAAGGAATCGCAGGAAAGTGTATTGTGGCAATTCAGAATCCGTCGTATAGCTTAGTGTGAGCTGATAGCTGATGGCAGGCTGGACCTTTGCAGCCTTGGCATGTGCAGATGCATTGTTCTTGAGAGTGTTCCCACAGCGCTTACTCGGGCTTCTACCCCAAATGCGGGCGCAGGTGCGGGTACACTGCGTGAAGTAAGTGGTGATTTACTCGTAACCAGTATTGAGTAAAATTGCTGGGAAGGTTTGCAACAAGAAACTGAACTGGTGAGCCATGCAACGGCATGTATTGCATGTGTGTATGTTCGTATGTCCACATGAGTAAACACAACACCATATGCGTTTTCACCGTAGCATTGGGCTCGAAGGGCAGGATATGCCCACTTGTCCCTCCTGCCGCAAGTGGTCCTTGTTGGCAGATTCGTGCTCGGTGTGTGTCTCGGCTGGAAGACTTCTGGCCGCATCGACTGGACCTCGGCTTCCTCCAACCCAAGAGGCACAGTTCAAGGTCACCAAGATCCTTGATTCAGCTTTTTACTCCATTGGTCGTCTCCTGCCTGAAGAGGAGAGCCCTGAGAAGGGAGCGGGGGCTCCCAGCGAGGCACCGGACTTGGAGGAGAAAAAGGGAGAGGAATCTCCCAGAGTCCCGGCCAGGGCGAAGGAGGAAGAGGCTGAGGCCAGTGCCGAGCTACTTGAGACCGAGGCCAACACAGAGGAGACCAAGATCACCCCACACGCCTGAGCGACCTCCACCAGCGAGATCATCAGGATCAAAGGGAGGAAGCAAAGGTAAACCTCAGGGCTCCGGCTGGAGGGGGCGCGTGCCTTATTCAGACCACCCCAGGTGGAGTCAAGGGACCAATAAAGGAATCACAAAAAGAGCCAAGCAAGAACTTCAGGAAAGGAAGACCCGCGGCCGAGGAGGCCGCTATCGTTGGTAAGGGAGGCCATGGCTCCCAAGTTGCGGAGGCCCGCAGCAGCCGCTCCACGTGCTCGAGTGCGAAGGAGGCCAGCCGCTGAAGGGGAGGAAGCCCTCCCAGTCGAAAAGCTGTACTCGTGGTCCGATCTTACAATAGACAAGTTGGAGGACTTGGATGTGATCGAGCTCGACCGGGCTTCGTATTACAACGCCTCGGTGAAAGTGGCAGGGCGAGTCCGTGCCCTCCATCCCAGTGAGGGACGCATGGACTTTACCTTGACAGGCACTCAATCCGAGCGCATCATGGAGGCCTTTGGAGGTGGAGAGGACAGGACCATCTCGGTTCACTTGTGCAAGGACACCTGCAGCCAGCTGGAGACCGGGTGGAAGCTGATTCATGCGCGAGGTTACTGGGATTGCTCGGTAGCCCCAAAGGAGTGGCAGATGAACCTCTCGGAAAGGGCGGTCGCAGAGCTCGATGAATTGTCGTCCCTGCGGAAGATGGCTGAGGAGAGAGGAAAGGGGAGGGGAAGAGAGAAACCTCCCAAGCCCGAGGTTGGAAGAGCAGAGGAGGTTGAAGAGGAAAAGAAGACAGGTAAAGAAAAGAAAAAGAAGAAGAAGAAAGAGAGGAGAGGAGAGAAGGAATGGGAGGAGAAACTGGCCTCCCAAGAGAGTTTGGAAGTGTTGGAGAAGGGGCAGAAGACCGCTAGAGCCATTTTCTCCCATACATGCCTCGATCCGAACGTCAGCAGGCGAAAGAGGCTGATGAGGAAAGCAAGGAAGTTGAAGAAGAAGGGAGATAAGAAGAGGAAGCGGTCCGATAGCTCAGAGGAGGATGAGAGCAGTTCCGAAACCAGCAGCGAGGAGGAGGACAGTGAAGGTGAAGGGCCGCTGTTCGAGGAGACGAGACGAGTGAAGAGGCTTCATGAGAAGTATCCAGGTGCTCTGTCTCTCCAGGCCATCGAGAATATGCGAGAGCATCTCCTAAATGCCCGAGGAGACATCTTCAGTAGCAGCAAGGAGCACCTGGGGCCGATCTTTGCCATCTATGCGCACCAACATTTGAAGCAGTTGGCGTCTCCAGTCCTCTGGCAAGAGATCAACACGGTGGCTCAGGTCAGCGACCTGCTGGTGCTGGGATGTCCCCTGAAGATCTTATTGTTTATCAGGAGTTACTAAAGAAGTTATAAAGTTTACAGGACTTAGCTAAGTGGTTAAGTTGTGAGTGAAAAGCTAGCAACTTAGCAGGTTTGCTAACTGGTTAGCTAACTGGTTAACAGTTTGTATATAAAAATGCACCTCGGTTAGGTTTTTGTGTTTTCTTAATCAAAAAATATACATTTACATAAATATTCACAGTGTCTTTGTATATTCTCCCTGATAGACATGCTTGTGAATTGACTGTTTTCTGCTTCAAAAAGCAAAAACAATTTTGTGTGTTCATGTGAAAACACATTCAAGTGTGCCTTGGAATGTGAATCCATTGTCCAGGCTTTGTTGTTTCCAAACACAAACAGAGTTAATCTCTATTTGTGTTAGTGTAAAATATTTTGGTTTTGGTTCCAGGTGTAGTATGTATAGGAGGATGGACATGGGTGCATTCTCCATAAGATTGGATCACTCATGCAACCCCAAATCCAGAGCAACACATAGGGCAATGGCCTTTGCCATGTACCCTTTCTCTACAGAGTTAATATCTAGTTAGTGTAAAATATTTTGGTTTTGGTTCCAGGTGTAGTATGTATAGGAGGATGGACATGGGTGTAAGATTGGATCACTCATTGTGCTATTTGGAGAACACTCTGCTGGACTCTAAACTTGGTGAGTGCCAGTGGGTTTGACCACCAAATGAATCCAGTACAGCATGGGGCATAGCTATATTAGCCCAAATGGACTTCCAAATGGCACCTCCATGAATTCCCAAATGGCACTTTGGTTGAGCCTGCCCACTCTATGATAGATCCAGGACTTGATCCTTTCATTGGGCCTATCAGGCATCTGGCATTGGATCATCTGCAGATCCCCTCAAGAGCTGTTCTCCAGGTTTTATGTCAAAGTAGCTAGTCCAACAAATGTCCACTGATTGATATGGACAACCTTAAACACCAAAACTCTTGATCATGCAAACGAACATATCTTACCATGAATTAGCATGAACCTATCTTTGGCCTGGTTGGCCCTTGAATGGGACATGAAAATCACCCACATGAAGCCATCAGGCTTGCAACAAGTAGTCCATGACATGTTCTGTGAAATATAGGTAAACTTTAAGCATCAAAATTCTTGATCATGCAAATGAACACACATTACCATGAAGTAGCATGACTCTATCTTTGGCTGATTGGCCCTTGCATGGGGCATGAGAACCACCCACATGAAGCCATCAGGCTTGCAACAAGTAGTCAATGACATGCTATGTGAAATCTATGTGCCATGAGGACACTGGCAAGAACACATGCAAGAACACACTAGTACCACCAGGATGTTTTGAAACCTGCTGGAATGCGCTCTTTTGCTCACTTCATTTGAAGTGGCACAAGGATTCTGAAGTCCTTGTTTTCAAAGTGTGAATGTGCAGTGGTGCAAGCCAAGGAAGAAGTATGCACAAACTTTGCAATCTCATTCTGTCTAACAGTAGCAAAGCATCCAGTCTTGTCCACTTGAAGGACTTCGAGCATGGAAACCAAAGAGTAAGCAATGTTGTCAATGTCCACATGCATCCAGACTTGGCAAACTTGCAGGCTGTTGGTCGAACTGTGAAGGAAACAAAAATCACCTTTGCTGCAAATACCTGCTGGTTGGAGGTGTGCCTGTGAAGAGCTGTGCACAATGGTGTCAGCAGGCAACTCAAAGGCATTTAACACAATGGCTTTCAAAGCCTTGCTTGCAGCACCTTTGTTGACAAGCCTTGCCTTCTCTGAAAAGAGGTTTGGTTCCTTCAGCTTGGCAAGGTCATGGCAAATAAGCTCTGAAAGTACACTTTTTTCAAAGGTCAAAGTGTTGCTGATCGAGGTTGCATATCCTTAACAGGGTAAGGGTCAATGAAACCTGTGGTGGATAATAATGACATTGGTTGAACATTGAACCAACACAGTAAACACTAAACACTTTCTTGAAATAGCCAAGCATCGCTTTACAACCTTATGTTTTCTTTCTTGGACAAAACAGCTGGGAAGTTGACCATGTTTTTGGAGATGAGTGCCAAAGTGAAGACACCAATGAAATTTGGTATGCATATTCTC